TCTTCTTCTTCTTCTTCTTCTTCTTCTTCTTCTTCTTCTTCTTCTTCCTCCGCCTCCCCCCTCCTCCTTGTTATTGTTGTTATTGACATCTTGTATTGCATTTCTCAAGCTGGGATGTTAATGGTGTCTCGCTGTGTTTTCATAACACTTGGGTTTTGTCCCTGATTCCTTGTTTCTCACTTGTGTGGCTCAGCTCTTATCCCAAAGCACCACTCTGAGCATACAGATACTCTTACAACTCTTAGTTAAAACTGCCCCAGGTTTTAGAGCCTAAAACGATGGCCATGCTGAGATTCTTCTACGCTAGATCTCTGCAGCTTTGGAAGTGCTGCTTAGACACAGCCAAGCTAATGAGGCAGATAGACAGAGAATCTTTCCGTCTTTATTTTCTTAAAAATACCTTGAAATGGGAGAGGATTCAGCTCATAAATCTGAAAACAGTAAAGATTGGCTCCTGTACAGTGAAATATATATTTTCTCCCCTGAATGTTCAGCAAAACAAAGAATTAACTCTGCGGAACCTCTTGGTAAGGAACAATTTGGTTGACACTAGCCTATTGAACATAAATGACTGACCAGATGGAGCATATCAGCTGATTTTCTCATATACTCCATTTCCGATAAAATACCGAAGTTGGAAGGGGGAGAGAGAAACCCATAAAGTCTCACACACCAATGTAGAGAATGCAATGAAACTACCTGATGCCAATGAGCTCCTTCCCAGATGCTTCCATAAAATTTGTCATGGATGCAATTATTTTGGGGCTTTTCTCTCTTGTTTAGAGAGGGGGGAGGGCAAAATAAACCCAACTCTGCTTTCCTCCTCCTCCTTCTCCTCCTCCTCCTCCTTCTCCTCCTCCTCTTTCTCCTCCTTTCTCCACCTCCTCCTCTTTCTCCTCCTCCTCCTTCTCCTCCTCCTCCTCCTCCTCCTCCTCCTCCTCCTCCTCCTCCTCCTCCTTCTCCTCGTCCTCCTCTTTCTCCTCGTCCTCCTCGTCCTTCTCTTTCTCCTTCTTGTTCTTTTAAGAAAGAAAGAAACACTGGGGAAAGCACAATGAAGGGAATTAGTCAAAGAGCTCAAATGTAGAAATTGAAATTTAACACTGAAAGGCACCGTATGTCCTCGAAAGCACAGGAAGCATTGAACTCACTCTTTCTTTAAATGGCAAACCGTCATGCCGTTCGGAAGGCATCCTGCCTGTTGTCATTGTGGCACAAACTTTTTTAGTGCTTCCCAATCATATTTCTTTGCAGTCTCTCTTAACTGAGCATGAAAATTGACCAGACGATACACTAGCTCTGAGTATGAAGTCCCCCATTGTTTTATTTTTGTGCCTTTGATGGCTGCCTGGATAAGTCCTCATATGTTTTTTTTTTCCCTTGCCAAAAAGGCTAACACAATCTTGGGTTGTATAAACAGAGGCCTAGCATCAAGATCCCATGAAGTGTTAGTACTGTTTTATAAAGCCTTAGTAAGGCCACATCTGGGATACTGCCTCCAATTTTGGTCACCCCATTACAAAAAAGACATTGAGACTTGGGGAAAAGTGCAGAGAAGAGCAGCTAAGATGATTAAAGGCCAGGAAACAAAAACATAGGAAGAACAGTTGCAGGAAATGGGTATGGCTGGTCTACAGAAAGGAAAGACTAGGGGTGACATGGTAGCAATCTTCCAGTATTTGAGGGACTGCCCCAAAGAGGACAGGGTCAAATTATTCTCCAAAGCACCAGAAGGCAAGAAGCAAAGGATGGAAACTCATCCAGGAGAGAAGCAACCTGGAATTAAGGAGAAACTTCCTAATAGTGAGGACAACCAACCAGTGGAACAGAAGTTGTAGGTGCTCCATCACTGAATGTTTTTAAGAAGAGACTGGGCAACTATTTGTCTGAAATAGGGTCTCCTGCTTGAGCAGGGGGTTGGACTAGAAGACCTCTAAAGTCCTTTCCAGCTCTATCCTGATTGAATGAAAATAACAGTGCGATCTGTATAAAGCTTACAACTGCTTTCTGCCGCTCTCTTTCTCTCTGCTTTGCCCTTTCAGATTCTCGTTTTTCGTATTCTTTGCGATATTCTTCCCTCTTCAGCCTCTCGTGCTGATATTCCTCGTAGCTGTCGTATCTAGGAAACAAGTGTGAATTGTTGAAATCAAAGGCACAAGTTTCCCCAAGGATGCAAATGAACAAAGCCGGCCTCATACTTTATGTTCTATTGGCTTTATTTACTTTATTTTTTGGTATATGCAAAGCAAAGCAAACTTAGGTGTACTACCTTCATATATCTACAGACCCCTCACATATCAAACATCTGCCAATCCCTCAAATATCCTCAAATACAGACCCCTCACATATCATCCCTCAAATATTTACAGATACTTCACATTCTGGACATAAACAATTTGAGCTCCTATCCTCAAAACGACTCTACAGGGCACTGCACACCAAAACAACTAGACACAAGGACATTTTCTCTCCTGCCATCACTCTGTTAAACAGCTAATTCCCAAAACATTGTCATGCCCTGGGATATCAAACCACATAGAAAGTCTGTGTTACTATTATCCTTGCCATCTTTCCTATTGCCTGAATGCTTTTATATCATCTCATCTCATTTCATCTCATTTCTCTCTCTCTCTTTCATCTGTCTGTCTGTCTGTCTATCTATCTATCTATCTATCTATCTATCTATCTATCTATCTATCTATCCATCCATCTATCCATCCATCTCTCTACCTATCACTATCCCTCTATTACTCTCTCCCTATCTCTATTTATCTATCTCTATTTATCTATCTCTATTTATCTATCTCTATTTATCTATCTCTATTTATCATCTATCTCTCTATCACTATCTATCATCTCTCTTTATATATATATCACTCTCTCTCTATTTCTATCATTTATGTATCATCTCTCTCTATCTCAGACTCCATCTCTATTTATCTTTCTCTATATCTACCATCTATGTATATCTATCTATAAATCTATCTGTCTGTCTGTCTGTCTATCTCTATCTCTATCCATCCATCACTATCTCTTTCACTCTCTCCCTCTCTCTCTCTCTCTCTATCTATCTATCTTCTATCTATCTATCTATCTCTATATCACTCTACCTATCATCTCTCTCTCTACCTAGCTCTGTCTCTATATTTTTATTATCTATGTATCATCTATCAATCTATCTATCTATCTATCTATCTATCTATCTATCTATCTATCTATCCATCCATCCATCCATCCATCCATCCATCTCTACTTGTTTGTCTCACTCTATTGCTATCTTTCTCTTTCACATTCTCCATCTCTCTAACTCTATCTGTATCATCTCTCTCTCTCTCTCTCTCTCTCTCTCTCTCTCTCCCTCCCTCCCTCCCTCTCTCTCTCTCTTCATTTACATGCTTTCAAACTGCTAGGTGGTCTGGAGCTGGGACAAGTCATGAGATCTCAACCCACCACGTGCTGCTCGGGTCTCAAACCCTGGGCTGCCAACTCTCCAGCTGACAACCATCGCCCCCCCACCCCCCCTTGTAAATTGGAATCCGCTTCCTACCAAAGAAATGTACTGATGGAATGCAGGCTTTCCAACCTTCTGAAAGTGAGAGTTCCCTTTCATGAAGCGAAACCTGCTTCCCTTCCAGTTACCTGGAGCATTTGCCGGGTGACCTCGACCTCGACCGGGAAGATGGAGCATGGGAACAATGCCTGCATTGCGGGAAGGATCTGGACTGAGAGCGTAGTCTTTGGAACCGTTGAGCAAAGGGGTTGGGGGGGGACCCTGAATATCTGCACGGAGAATCCAGGGATGAACCAGAAGGTGATAAATCAAATAAGGTGTAGCCCGATATCTTTTCGTTTTCCTCTTCGCTGTCCTCCAAGAAACCCTCCATCGCTAGCCCCGAATTGATAAACATAGATAGCTTAGAGAACTGTTCATCACTATAATGACCATAGTCCCTCAGATTGCTAGTCTTGTTGGTCTCTTCATCAAAAACAGCTTGGCTGGGGGGACCGAAATGCTTGTTGAGTTCGGCCCGGATTTCCTGGTCTTGGAGCAGTTTCCGGTTGTTGCATGGTAAGTCCAGCTTTCTCGCCTGCCAACTTTCTCTCTCGTCCTCCTGATTGCTTTGCTCCAAGGAGGAACAAATGGGACACCACCAGCCTGTTAATTCCACCTGACTGGAGTTCTGCAGTTCCAAGGAACGGTTGAGGCATCGTTCTGTCTTGGAAAGGACCGACTGACAGTAATCGTGGTCGCCAAACAGTCTCAGACCAAGCAGCCTCGTCTTCCTCTCCTCTTGTCCCACAGGTGGCCCACTGGTCTTGCTCAGCTGCGCATACAGCTCCGACTGCTCTGGAACCTTCCAGAACAAATTGTGTCCTTGCGAGATGGAAGACTCACTGCAACGAGGTTTCGGGGAAGGTGGCATAACAGTCTGGCATGACGCCTTGGGCTTTGGTGAAGTTCTAAAAGGGTTGTCTTGGGTGGCCTTATGAGGAGGGGTGGTAGGTGGAGTTAGGCCTAAAATACAAAAGGAAGGGGGGGAAGAGGGGGGAGCAACACAGGTTAATTTATTCTTAATGTGATGACAAGGGGCATGGCACAAAAGCAACGAAGTCACAAAGGTAGGTAAAGTCCCTTTAATTCCTCCAACTTGGCCCCCAATGTTCAGTTATAATCGGCTGGAGAAAAAACTCTCCCAAGAATAGTTTTTAAAGGGAAGAAATTCCATCCAAACTCAAAGTACATATAAAATATAAATAAAAACCAACACAAACCACAATTAACAGCAGCAATTAACGAGTCAGGGCAAGATAAGGGATTTAAGACATCAAAATAATGAACCATACACACTTGGGAGGACACCAGAACTCAGATAAGATTTGAGAAACCAGAATAATTTCACGCTTTGCTTCCAGCAACTTTGCCACGTGCAGTCTGCCCTTTTAAACAGTCTTCCCAGCTGCAGCCCATGAAGGGGATCAGGGCCCTTTCCTCACCTGTAAACCACGCAACTAACGTTGCTCCCTTACCCATTCCTCCCTGCATGCCCTAGGATGAAGAGGGGGTGGCCCTGGGTCTTCCTCTGAAGGCCCTGTTGGACTGTGCCCTTCCCCAGTTTCTTCCACAGCCACTGGAGCCACACTCCCACTCCCTGTCAGCTGCTCGACCTCCCCCTTGGAATCAGATTCCAACCGGGGCATAACACTTAATATTGCAACCGATTCTGCAGTGGGATCTTATCTGTTCCACTACTGGTTCGATGATCACGCATGCACCTAACGCGCTCACGCAGCTTTCCCCACACCAGCTGAGGCCTGCAGCGCCAATCAGCTGAGAGGATAATGAAGAGAAAAGTGCAAAGGTGGATAAGAGGGCCAATCCTGCCCTTTTCTCTTCTTTCTCCTCTCAGCTGATTGTCAGAAGATTTTTTTCCCTCCTCTCAGCTGATCATGGGAAGCTTTTTTTTTTTTACTACCAGTTCGGATGAACCGGTCCAAACCGGTAGCATACTACAATTGTGGTCACCATACTACAAAAAGATGTTGAGACTTTAGAACAAGTGCAGAGAAGAGCAACTAAGATGATCAAAGGCCTGGAGACTAAAACATACAAAGAATGGTTGCAGGATTTGGCCAGTCTAGAGAAAAGAAGGACTAGGGGGATGACATGATAGCAGTATTCCAGTATTTGAGAGGCTGACATAAAGAAGAAGGGGGGGGCTCAAATTATTCTCCAAAGCACTAGAGGGCAGGACAAGAATAGATGGATGGAAACTCATCCAGGAGAGAAGCAACCTGGAATTAAGGAGAAACTTCCTAACAGTGATGACAATTAATCCGTGGAACAGAAGTTGCCTTCAGAAGTTGTGGTTGCTCCATCACTGGAGGATTTTAAAAAGAAACTAGACAGTCACATATCTGAAATGGTATAGTTTCCTGCTTGAGCAGGGGGGCTGGACTAGAAGACCTTCAAGGTCTCTTCCTATTCTACTGTACTCTACTGTACTGTACTGTACTGTACTCTACTCTACTGTACTCTACTCTACTGTACTCTATTCTAAATTCTATTCTATTCTTTATTCCGATATTCTATTCTATTCCATTCCATTCCATTCCATTCCATTCCATTCTACTCCAATCCTCTACTCTACTCTTTTTTTATTTTCTGCCACATACTGAAATACAGGTAGTTCTTAACTTCCAAAAGTTTGGCGCTTGGCAAGTGGTTCATATTTACAACAGTTCAGCATCCTGGGGTCATGTGACTGGCTTTGGGGACCTCCTGACAAGCAAGGTCTGTGGGCAAGCCAGATTCACTTAACAACCATGTTACTAACAAATCCAGTGATTCACTTAATGTGATTCTCTCCAGCGTCCCAGTCTATGGCTGACGGAGGTCAAAAGCCACTCAGCTGGTTTCAAGGGAGGGCTAGCCCAGTCCCTTAACCACTAACCCACATGAGATGTTCATTTTAACTGTATTTACCCCATGGTGGCATAGTGGTTAGAGTGTGGTACTGCAGGCTCCTTCTGCTGACTGCTGGCTGCCTGCAATTTGGCAGATCGAATATCACCAGGCTCAAGGTTGACTTAGCCTCCCATCCTTCCGAGGTGGGTAAAATGAGGACCCAAGTTGTTGTGGGCAAGAGGCTGACTGTGTAAACCACATAGAGAGGGCTGCAAAGCATCGTGAAGCAGTATACAAGTCTAAATGCTATTGCTATTTCAATGTGTTAATTTTCGGAGTATCGAAATGCTTAAAGCTAGTAGCATTTCTTGCTCGGTATCCCCACGGTATTTTGAAATAATTGGATTTATTTACCTTCCCTTTTTATGCAACGTGGATCCTACAATTTTATAAATAAAACAATGAAACCGAATTAGCTACCATACAATGGTTAAATCTACATGATAAAGGGATATATAGCCTTGGGCGCTGATTCGCTCTTTTTAAAGCCAGATACAGGAATCCAAACAACAAAACCTGCCCCTCCTCCCCCCCCAAATAACCAATCTGTTATGAATGAAATAAAACATTAACTATATGCCGTTGAAAGAGACAGCAAGGCGCAAAACATTATGTCATATAGACGGAAACATTATGCTATCGATGGACAGCTGTGATTGTGATTTGCACAATCACAGGTTGGGAGGTTAATGGACAGTCACTCACTGCTACCCTGTGCAGAACACACACTTGTGGCACTGCAACTTTGTAAGAAAACTATGTGTAGGGAAAAAAAACGATCGAGAAATTGAAACGGCAGGTAAGCCGCCTAAATTGCCCCAGTGCTCCTTTAGCATCACAAGAGAGAAGCTGAAATTTACCTTCCGTTTAACAAATAGAGGCTTAAGTAAATAAAAGAGGAGACAAATGTCAGATCAATAAGGGTTTTCCCTCCCAGCATGTTAATTTCCTCGGCGAGATCTCTTTGTAGAGAGGAAAGATCACAGCTTTGCCGAAATCCTCAAATGAAAGAAGCCAAAGCTTTCGTCTCCAAGGTTTAGTTGTGTGCAGGAAGCATTTGCAACCCTTCTGCCTCCTTTCTGATTTTATCAAAGAGGGTGTCTCGTTCCCTGGCTCACACACAGACACATTTTTTTTAAATATTTTATTTTAACGTAATACAGTTTGCCTTCAGAAGTTGTGGGTGCTCCATCCCTGGAGGTTTTTAAGAAGAGATGGGACAGCCATTTACCTGGAAGAGTATAGGGCCGTGGCGAACCTATGCCATGTGTGCCAGAGGTGGGATACAGAGACCTCTCTGTAGGCACCCATGCTGTTGCCAGCTGTTCTTTAGGTTTATGCCACATGCATGACCGCTGGCCAAACTGGTCTTCACATTCGCCAGAAACTCGAAGACCAGCTAGCTAGCACATGCATGCGCACCGGCCAGCTGGTCTTCAGGTTTCCAGTCTGCATGAAGACCAGCTATCCAGCATGCATGCATGCACCAGAAATCAAAAGAGTAGCTGGTGACAGTGCACATGCCCACAGAAAGAAACAAGAAAACCAGCTGGCCAGTGTGCATGCACGCACCGGAAACCCGAAGACCAGGTGGCCGCCATGTGCATGTGCACTGGCCAGCTGGTCTTCGGGTTTCTGGCATGCATGCGTGTTCTGGTTTGGGCTCTCAGTGTCAAAAAGGGTTGCCATCACTGGAATAGGGTCTCCTGCTTGAGGTTGGTCTAGCAGACCTTTAAGGTCCCTTCCTGTTCTCTTCTGTATGCTATTCTGTATTCCATACTGTTGGGAACTAAATCTTTCCAGTTATGAGATGCCCTGATGTTTGTTTGTGTGCTTGAAGGAGACTCATAAATTGTCATGAGGGGAAATGCGTACAGAATACTGTAAGGTTTTTTCCAGAAAACGTAGATATTTCCTGCTTCGGGCTCCAAAATGACCTAACTGATGAAGAGTTTGGCTCTTTATTTTTATTTTGCCACCCACAAAAATAAATAAATAAATAAATTCAACTACAGTATTTGAGAAAGTTGTACGGCACAACCATCAGTAACTTGTCTTGAAACAACAATAACAACAATCCAATATTTACTAAACAGTTTCAGGAAACTGTCATAAGGCCTAAGACAGACAGACAGACACAATTAGGTTGTGCTACTCCAAACACCATACAGAGGGCTAGAAAAATCAACAGAGGATGCCTCTATCTATCTATCTATCTATCCATCCATCCTTCTCTCTCTCTCTCTCTCTCTCTCCTCTCATCTCTCATCTCTCATCTATCTATCTGGCATGTCACACAAAGAGCCTAATAGCACAATAAGAAAAACTTTCAAATTAGTACTTTCTCACCAATTTCTGCTTTTCTGTTTAAAGGAACTTTTCAACTTAAGGTGCACCCTACCATATGACACGTCGCACCTAAAAGTCTTGAAAGCGAGGTTTGTGTTAAATTCATATTTGCAAATGGAATGACCAAAACTGAATTTTTGTAGGAAGTGGCCAGGCTGAGCTGAGGTCAGGGTCAAACACGTCATTAGTTTGGAGTCTGCAAGGCAGCTGAGTCCAGCCCTTGGTGAATTCTATTGACTCTTATCTAGCCCCAATTTGCCTTGACCATTAGTAGATAAGATTCTTGTACATAGGCAGCATGAAATAAACTCGTAGCACTTTTGAACTCTATCCCTGCTCTTATTTATTTTTTTTGCACCAGACAGTTTGACATTTTTATGCTTCTGTTGTAGTTCCCCAAACAAGGTCAACAGTGACTAACGCTTGGATTGAAGGACTAGCAGATAACACCAGATCTCTAAGCGAACTTAAGAACTTGAAAATGAAAAGAGACAAGAAAAGAACCAGTTCTATACTCTCAACCTGAACTTATCTACGGAGCCAGCAAGACTTGAGTTTAACTTTCCCCTAAAAAAAAAAAGGAAAATGGGATTAGGTAAAACTCACGTGATGATATTGAATGGCAAAAGAAGTTTTAAATAAGGTATTTTTCTCTCTCTCTCCAATTCCCTCCTTTCCACTTTCCTGGGATCGAAACTTGA